AACTTAAAATCCAAATCTTTAAATTTAATTTCAAGTTACACTCATCAAATAATTAGACCTAATTACAAGTTTACCCCGTTCCTACCCATAGATACACTTACCTAGTTACTGTGTAGAGATTACTTGATCACCACTTATCTACTCCCAAATATTCTCATATATATAGGATCGTTTTGTACTTTTCATTATGCAATACAATATAATATTTTCATTCTACCAATTCCAATTCCAAAGTTTCAAATTAAACTAAGAGTTTTTAGGTCTTTGCAAGAAGTTAATGTATCATAAGGTTTTTATTTGCATACTTCTTAAACTTGAGAAGGTTCAGTGCCCCAACGAGGATTTCAACATTTGAAACCCACTATATAAGTCTCTCGAGTCGATCTATACATGTTGTAGAACTTAAAATCCAAATCTTTAAATTTAATTTCAAGTTACACTCATCAAATAATTAGACCTAATTACAAGTTTACCCCGTTCCTACCCATAAATACACTTACCTAGTTACTGTGTAGAGATTACTTGATCACCACTTATCTACTCCCAAATATTCTCATATATATAGGATCGTTTTGTACTTTTCATTATGCAATACAATATAATATTTTCATTCATTTATTTTCACCTAGTATCAGAGCAATCCACTCTCCTTTCTTCCTTTCTATTTTTTATTCTTTGAATACTTGGTGGGGTTCCAATAAGCCCATAAGGAACACATATTTTTTCTACTATCCGAAACAGGTCCTTCACAAGTTCTTTCACCATTCTGAACATATGAGACAAAAGTACAGATTTTGACCATTCCGACACCAGCAAAAAACAGGCCAGAAAGAATCCTGCAGGCACCCCCACGCATCGCCCGAAGGTTTTTACCGCCAGCACGCCTCTACGCGCTCACCCCACTGCCACGCACCATTAGTGGTCATCACGCACCTCCACATGTTAAATTTTCACAACTCCATCACTACGACATCAGGCGCCATCAATGATCATCTTACTCGCATCCACTTGCCTCAAGTAGCTAGTCTCCACCTTGTTCATGATCTCGTCTCCCAATTCAATCTGGTTTCATTTAACACACGTTGAGTTTTGAGAAGAGTGTTAGATTACAAATTTACCCCTACATCGACCCGTTACCTTATATACCTACACCTACCTACTTACCATGTATAAATGATTTGATTATCACTCACCTATTCCCCAATCTTTTCTTATATATGTTAGAAGTTTTTTGAATGAAAATTGTTTCAATAGTAATCAATAAATGCCTTTGATTGAATAGGTGTGATCACTAGTTGGTTGTGGAATGAAAAAATGTAACTCACAACCAATAGACATAACCTATTTAATGTGAACCATTGTAACCTATTATAATGGTTGTGTCTAGTGATGAATAAACACATATAAATAGTTGTGTCCAGTATGAAGAGACACATATAAATGGTTGTGTCTAGTGATGAAATGGTTTTGTCCATTGATAAAGAGATATATATGAATGGTTGTGTCTAATGATGAAGAGACGCACCCAATCCGAAAAGGCATTTCTATTTCTATAAATACCCCATTGGGCTGCCATTTGCAAATCATTTAATTCAATTTTTCTTTCTCCCTCTCTAAACTTGAACCCAACCCAAGTGAGTTCAAACCATAGGTCAAGTGGTCTGAACCACTTAGACCCTAATCCAATTTCATCGAACTATATTAAGATTGATCTGAACCATTTGGTTCGGAATGTAATCAATTTATCATTTATATAGTATAGATGCATTTTTAAGTCAGAGAGTGTATTACACAGAGGAAATTTGTCGTATCCACGAGTTTGTAGTGCTGGTGGATGTAAACCGTTGTATCTTGTGAAATAGATGCCACTGAGTCCGTTGGCACCATAGCGGTACGAATTTGTCTTAAGGATATAGTATCTAATACTAGCCTCGTCCAGATTCTTTATTTAGTAATTATTATTTTATTACTTTAATTTGTATTTTAATTAAATATCTAGTTGAATATTTAATTATTTATTTTTTAGCATATTATTAATTACCTCATGACATATTAGTATAAAGCTAGTTATATATTAAATGTCACATGAAGCGTATATTTACAAACAATATATAGGACCTTTTTGAACTCTTCATTATGCAATACAATATAATATTTTCATTCCTTTATTTCAACAAACCAAAATCCATTGATTTCAAATACATTGATCCTGATGGAGCGTAGTTGATCTTGGGTTTGTCCTGTTTAGTCCACCTATCCTTGTACACTTGAACCCTTAACTTTTCACTTTACAATATATGCTAGGAAGCACCGCTATGCTACTGCATTTAGTTAAACTTGACTTGGTTATCAAAATTGGCTTAGAGGCTGGAAAGGAGAGATAATTCCCTTTTCTTTCAGATCTTCAAAGAGTAAATTTTTTTCTTCTTGCTCATATCTTAAATCATCTTGTAAATCCATTGCCTTTCTGATTTGGAATACTTATATTTTTGCTGTAATTGAAAGGAATCTTTCAGAGGGCTAGAAGAGGAGATTGGATAATGGAGCTGACAAATAATTAAACGTTATTTATTTTACATTTGGGATAGTTTAAAATTTAAATTAAATTTATCAGATTATAAATCCAAACTGCATATTCAATTCTTCTGAACATACCTTTAGGGATATTGACTGAAATTTATGAACCCCTTTGAGTTAGGGAAGCGGGTGGAGAAGACTTAATATTACTCTCTAGTAATAATAATATTTATACCTTCCAAAAAAAAAAAAATAATAATAATAATAATAATAATAATAATAATGATATGCGAGCTTATTTCAAGTGGCCTTGGGTCAACTATCCTTGATATCCGGTCTGCGGACACCTTATTTTCTTCCAATGAAACAATAGACTCAAATTGGTCATTTAGCGGGTCATTCACTCTATGGACGTTCACATGGAAAAGCGCGCCACAGAAAAATTACTTGTGGAGACGTGTGTGGCTAAATATGCATTGGTCAGTCCTGTTGATGCTTATAATTAACTATGAACCCCACCTTATTGTTCCACCCTTTTTTTACACTTCCCATCTCTTTCTTTCCATTCAATATTGGAAATTCTTGTAAGATGCTGAAGTCAATCTCGTGTAATAAGCGAAAATATACAATGTGTTTGGTGCACCATATTCTCGTAAGTTAAATGCGTTTGTATGTGGCTCGAGCGTACAATATACTTTGTTTAAGCATGAGGTATATCTAAACAATGTATGCCTGTTTTTCTACAAGTGGGTGATCACTGTACAAAGACTAAAATGTGGACATTTTGTCCACCACTTTTTTTGAAGAAATCAAAAGCTTTAAAGTGGTTTAAAGGTGAAACATCATGGTTATTACACAGAACACCGTGCATTAGATACATATCGAGTTGTACACGTATAAACGTATATAACTTACAAAAAATATGATGCACCAAACACATTGTATATTTTCTCGTGATTGACATCAGCATCTTACAGGAATTTCTAATATTGAATGGAAAAAAAACAAAAGATGGGAAGTGTAAAAAAGGGTGGAACAATAGAATGTGGTGGGGTTCATAGTTAGTTGTAAGCATATATTCTAATTTTGTTGATTATGGTTTTCTAGACTTAGCTAGTCAATATCAATGTGGTCTACCTACACTCATTTTATGTTTGTTACTTTTTTCTTTATTTTTCATTTTTCATTTTTGATATGATAAAAATCACTAATCTCTTCTTACGGTCATGCATCACCCATTAATGAGTAAAGAGCTAGTACTTCATCATCAAGTGTCACAACGCACGAGTTAATTAACTTGTGTACGAGTAGTAATAAAAATAAAAATGAAAATACAACAATAGTTGTATATAAGTATTTTGCATTAACGTGTATATAATTATGTTGACAAGAAATGGTACGTTATTTAAATTTTTATATATGTAGATTGGTGTTTATATATGTACTATGCTTATGGAAAAACAGTATATATGCCTTTTTTGATAATACGAGTTTCAAATTTTAATCGTTCAATTGCACCTATAGATTTCCAATTTATTAAATTATTGTTCTTTTGGTTTTTCCCCTGGGAGGTATATACATAAATCGCTCTTTTCAATTTGTCAATAGTGTTGGTAATTAAACAACTATTTTTAGAAGATAAGAAACTAATAATATTACTAATATATATATATATATATATATATGTGTGTGTATTGTCTCGTGAAGGAAAAAGAACAAACGAGAGAGAAGTCCTCAAAAAGAACTAATTAGTGACGATGATGGAACTTAAATGGCATGAAGAAAAGTTTACAGGGTCAGTCAACGTTGACTCAAGTCAATGTTACGTGTTAAACCATCTTTGGCAATTGGCTTTGGTGTTTTTTTTTTTTTTTTTTCATATGCACTTCAAAAAAAAATTTTGTTCTGAAATTCTATTTAATATATAGCATTAACCTTTTTTTATTTTTATTTTTTTAATGAAATTGTTAATATAGACAAGGTGTTTCGGTTTTTCTCGTTTTATATACAATATATCTAATTATCTATTTATAGATATATATATAGAGTCCGCTTTGATTCCCATCTCACTCATCCGATTTACACAAAAATGAATCTTATATTTCCGAATACAGATCAAGTTAAGAGTACTAATTCTTATTGGAAGAACTTCAATATAGTTATTTTTGCAATTAATTAAGCAAGAAACTTTTGATTGATTTTCCAAATTATTGCCAAAGAGACATTACCATTATAGTGTGAATTCTTGACTTTCATTATAAAGAAAGTGTGAGTGGTGCAAATTGAAAGAAAAAGGTGAAATCATGACATTTTCCAAAATTTCCACAAAATTGACAAAAAGCAAAAGCATCTTTCTTGTTGGAAGACTTTGACTTGACTAAGGTGGATTCGGTAGAGATCGCACTGATGATACTGATAGTCTCGTGAATTGATACAAGGTTTAAGACTCGAGTATTTATCAACTACTCTGGAGTAGAAGTTCTTGTATCTGATTCCGTAAAACATAGTGAAATTTCTTCATCTTAGCCTAAATTTTGGTGAACTAGGTAAATCTTGTGCCTCTAAGTAATAACTTTATTCTATTCAGTCTTTCGTTGGATCTCAATGTTTTGTTATGGCCCCCAACAGGAATAGTAAACTAGACTAAATTCATCCCATATTAATACCACACTAGGCCTTCCTCTTTTAATTCACCAAAACCTGTATTCCCTTTTCATGATGGAGCAAACTTTCTCCCTTGTATCTGTTACATTTATATTGTTGGTGCACTACTACTCCTCCTCTCTAATGGCTAATTGCTTGGCTGTGAGTACTAAGAGTATTGCACCCAACATCACCACTGATCAATCTGCGCTTCTTGCCCTAAAATCCCACATCACCTACGACCCTCACGAGATGTTGGCCAACAATTGGACCATCTCAACCTCCCCTTGCAACTGGATTGGTGTCCGTTGCAGCACTCGCCACCACCGAGTTGCAGCCTTGGACCTTTCTAACATGGGCCTAAGAGGCACCATCCCTCCACACATAGGAAACCTCTCATTTCTAACCTTCCTATACCTCAGACAAAACAGTTTCCATGGTGATATCCCTAAAGAGATAGGTCATTTGCATAGACTAAAAGTCCTCCGATTCTCTTCCAACGACTTTACAGGAAACCTTCCTACAGAAATTGGCAAGCTTGTTAACCTAGTGGATTTGGTCGTGCAGTCCAACCGGCTTTCAGGCTCGATACCTAACTCCATCTTCAACATCTCCTCGCTGGAAAATATTGCTTTCACCAATAATAACCTGTCGGGTAATATTCCGGAGGATATGTGCTACCGTGTTCCAAAACTCTATGGGCTTTATTTGTCCAGTAACCAGTTTGATGGCCAAATTCCTTCCACTTTATATGAATGCTCTGAACTTCAAATCTTGTCATTGTCATCTAACAAATTCAGTGGAGCAATATCAAGCGAGATTGGGAACTTAACCATGTTGAAAGAGTTATATGTTGGCGTAAACAACTTGAAAGGTATGGTGAATTCTACTTTTGTTATCCTTTACTATATCCATGTTAGCTTGCATTGCATATATAAGCAAGGACTTTAATTGTCTTATACAGTGACTATGAACAAAATTTTGCATACCAAAAAAGTTTGGAAATTTGTGATATATTAATGTTGTATATTAATTAATTAGATGAATAGATGTGTATAATATTTAGTTTGCTAATATCCCATTGAAATATTTTAAATAGACTATTTGCCACGTAGTTACAACACTATGTATATTAATTTAGAACTTAATTATATGCCCCCTCACTCTCCCAAAGGCCATTTTGATTTAGTTTTGGTTTGGTATATATGATGTACGGAGTACTATTTTTTAAAGCAATCTAATAGTAATTAAAATTTTCAATTGTCCGTCTCGCTTCACTCAGGCGAGCACCTCGCCTTGCGCTTAGGCTCCAAACGACCTCTAGCGCAACAAAATTATTCATCAAAAGTCGAAAAAAATATACAATTTGAAAGGAAGGAGGAGGCAAGGGAATGGAAAAGATACTACTATTCTTTTGACATTGGGTTAATTAAACAACATTTTTTTGTCTTTTAATAAGGATAAATTTAGAAATTCACTCTCATCAACACAATAAAAAAGAAGAATGATATTTGCACCGATTTGTTGTAATGAATTGCCAGACCTAATTCTTTTAATTGGTCCATCTATGCATCAAATAAAGAAGTGGAGTCCTCCACTTACGTGTATTATGCATAAATAACCAATTAGAAATATTTGGTTAAGTAATTCCCAATAACAAATTGGTGCAAACTATCATTACTCATAAAAAAAAAAAGTATTAAAAACTCACTACCATAAAAAGTTAAATTTCCAAAACACCCCAAGAAATTTGGAACTAAGAGACTATTTATTGCACGCTTGAAAAAGAGGTTTGTTGACAATTTTGTAATACTGTGTCTGTATAGGTAAAATTCCACAACAGCTGGGAAATCTTCGTAATTTGGAGGTACTTGTTATTGTGAGCGCTGGCCTTACTGGTACCATACCATCGGGTATCTTTAACCTTTCATCTTTGAAAGTGCTTGATCTCCAAAGAAATAACTTTATTGGTAGTCTACCAAGGGGGATGAGCTGGCATCTTCCTATGCTTGAGGAAGTTTATCTTCAAGAAAATGAACTGTATGGAAGCATTCCCAGAGAAATTGGAAACTTTACTACATTGGTTATATTATCTCTAAGCCAGAACAGTTTCACAGGTACCCTCTTAATTATCTACTTTATTTGTTGATTTGATTTTTAGTAATGGCATGGAGTATTTTGGAATACCAAGCTTATTCAACTTTCTTTTACGGATTATTACATATACATGGGATTAGGGACCCATATTTATCATTTGATAGAGTTAAAGTTCTAATCTTTCAAAAAAATGAAATTACAGTTACTATATCTAGGTGCCACAATTGTACATGTAAGTACTACTCTTGTGTACATAGAGGTACTACTTTTTATGCACGAATGTACCATTTTTTGTGCAGACCGTGTTTGCATGCACAAAAAAGGTAGTACCTGATGACATGATCTGCACAAAAAAATGGTACTTGCATGCATAAAAGTGGTACGTTAGTGCATAAAAGAAGTACTTACACAAACAAAAGTGGTACATGAAAATAGTAAAGGGTAGTTTGAGAAAATGAACATTGTTTTTCTATATCTACATCAGCATTTTCATTAATTTTAGTTTATCGAAACATCATGATCTTTAACTCCATCAAATGATAATAAGGAGCCATAACACCATGTATTTGTAATAATCCTTTTCTTTTAAATGACTGCACAACTACTTCTTTCTTTCTAATTTCTTTTTTATTTTTTTATTTTTGTTCTCATAAACTTTGCTATGTAAAGAACGCTAACACAAAAAACGATGATGTGCTTTCTAAAATGTAAATAGGATTGGTAATCATAGCAATCTGTAGATGCCAACAGTTAACTTGTTTGTGCGTGCTGCAATACGTTTTTTTGCAGGTGCAATACCACAAGAGATTGGAAACCTTTGGGACCTAGAGTTTTTAGGTTTACATTTGAATAACTTAAAAGGTCCAATTCCAGAAACAATTTTCAATATGTCGAAACTACGAATCATTGGATATGCGAAAAATCAACTTTCAGGCAAACTTCCTTCAAGTATTAGGTTAGCCAATCTTGAAGAATTTTACCTTGGTGGAAATAACCTCAACGGAATTATCCCTCACTCAATTTCAAATCTTTCCAAACTTGTTGTTTTAGAACTTGCCGCCAACAATTTTGGTCATTCAATTCCAAACTCACTTGGTAACTTGAGACAACTCGAAATTCTAAACCTACAAGAAAACAATTTCATCAGTGAATCTTCAAACCAAGAATTGAGCTTTATTACTGCCTTGACAAATTGCAAACACTTGCGAATATTGTGGATAAATAAGAATCCTCTTCATGGCATCCTTCCAATTACCATTGGGAATCTATCCTCGCTTCAAGATTTTTGGGCAAGTGATTGTGAAATTAAGGGCAACATTCCCAACCATATTGGTAACTTGAGCAATTTGGCTGTATTGCGTCTATATGGTAATGGCTTCAATGGGTCTATTCCAACGACAATGAAAGAGTTGCGAAGACTTCAAGTTTTACGTCTTGGAATCAACATGATACACGGGCTAATTCCAAATGATCTCTGCCACTTACATAACTTGGGTTCATTAGCTCTGAATGAAAATGAACTTTTTGGTCCAATTCCAACTTGCTTAGGGAATGTTACATCTCTAAGAGAACTTTTTCTGGGTTCCAACAAATTAACCTCCACAATACCCAAAAATCTGTTCACCCTCAAAGATATTTTGTATTTGAACTTGTCCTCAAATTCTTTAAGTGGCTATCTTCCCTCGGAGATAGAAACTTTAAAGGTCGTAATACAAATAGATCTATCATTGAACGGATTCTCAGGTAATATCCCTAACACAATTGGAAATTTGCAAAGCTTAATCAGTCTTTCTTTGGCACATAATAGACTACAAGGACCTATTTCTGAGTCATTTAGACACTTGATAAGCTTGGAATCTTTAGATCTATCTTACAACAATCTCTCAGGTGTAATTCCAAAGTCAATGGAATCACTCGTGCATCTTCGACATTTCAATGCATCTTTTAATAGATTAAGAGGAGAAATTCCCGGAGGACCATTTTCAAACTTCACAAATCAATCCTTTATGTCAAATGAAGCACTATGTGGTGCTCCGCAATTGCAAATCCCACCATGCCCTTCAAGCTCTCTTCATGGATCAAGGACAAAAAGAGTGCTTCTATTTGTTTACATTTTGTTGCCAATTGCTCTAATTGCCTTGACCTTCACATTTGTTTCAAGAAGATGCCGAACGAGAAATAGAACTTCAATTGAAACGGAGTTGTTACCCACTATAGCACATAGAAGATTTTCATACCAAGAACTTCTACGTGCTACTAATGGTTTTAGTGACAGTAACTTGCTTGGAACAGGATGTTTTGGTTTTGTTTATAAAGGGACAATTACAGATGGGACCATTTTGGCGATCAAGGTATTCAATTTGCAACTAGAAGGTGCATCCACGAGTTTTGATACGGAATGTGAAATGTTGCGCAACATTCGTCATAGAAATCTCATCAAAGTTATCAGTAGTTGCTCCAACCTAGATTTCAGAGCCTTGGTACTCCAATACATGCCTAATGGGAGTCTTGAAAAGTGGTTGTATTCTCATAACTATTTCTTAGATATCTTGCAGAGATTAAACATAATGATAGATATAGCGAGTGCGTTGGACTATCTCCACCATGGTAATTCAATACCATTGGTTCATTGTGATTTGAAGCCAAATAATGTCCTGCTCGATGAAGATATGGTCGCACATGTTAGTGATTTTGGAATTGCAAAGTTCTTGAATGAGAGGGAGAGTATTGAGCACACCAACACCCTAGCTACTTTGGGATATATAGCACCAGGTGAAGCTTTTAACTTCAGCTTTCATTCAAATCTTACTTCAAGTTTTTTTGTTTTTTTTTTATTTTATTTTTTTGGGGCAAGTCCTTTAGGTTTTTTTTTTAGGGTAAGTACAAAACTTTTAATTGGGCTTTTTCTTTCTTTCCATATGTTAATTTTTTTGATTAATTTTGATGTTGGATGTAGAGTATGGATTGGAAGGACTAGTATCCACAAGGTCCGATGTTTACAGTTACGGTATTATGTTAATGGAGATGTTTACAAGGACTAAGCCCACTAATGATGTGTTTGCTGGAGATTTGAGCTTGAAGTTATGGGTAAGTGAATCACTACCTAATGCAATAATTCAAGTTGTAGATGCTAACTTGCTCAAGCCAGAGGAAGGACAAATCAATGCAAAGGTGCATTGTGTATCAGCCATTATGCAATTGGCTCTGAATTGTTGTGCAGAATTACCACGGGAGAGGATCAACATGGAAGAAGCCCTTGCAGCACTAAAGAATATTAGACATAATTTTCTTGCAAGCCGTGAAATGCAAGAATGATGAAGGATATGTTTTATGTTATTTCTAGTGGTGTATATGAAATTGAGACAATTATAAGTTTGTAGCATGATTTTATAGCAACAGATATCATTCCTTTGAAAGATGGAACTAGTTGTAGCTCGTATTGCTCCATGATATTGGAATTATATCTCAAAGGAACATATATGTTGTATATATATATATAAAGGGATATATATTATGTGTGCCAAAACTCTTAATAGTTTTAGGTTACCAATTTGCAATGCAATTCAGTAGAAGTGTGTGTAGGTCTGCAATCTAGCATAGTCGAGTAATGGCCTATTCGAGCTCGGCTCAACTGCATAGTAAGGGCGCTTGAGCTCGAGCTTGACTCGAGCTTTCATTTTAGTGTTCAAACTCAGCTTGAAGCCATTCGCGATAAGCTCGAGCTCTGCTCGAAGCTTGTTACCGAGGAGGGTTAGGGATTGTTTATATATATTCTCATAGGTATTAATTTAATGGGCCTAAGTTGGTCCTGGTCACTTGGATTTGTAATGGGCTTAGTCACTTAAAATAGATAAAAGGCTTGGGCTAAAATCTAAAGAGTATATATATTATATAAGGGAAAAATCACATAACTCCCTTGTACAAACGTTTTCGTCCAAAATGTCCCTACTAAAATTAAACGCTCTCCTGAACTATAAATCGTCATCACATTCTCTCATTTTCCTTCAAATCGGTTAAGTGTATGTGAAATTACAAATATACCCCCTATAATATAATATGAAATATAAATACGAAATAAATTTTATTTATCCAATTACTGTAGTAAAGAAAATGAAAAAAAAAAAAAAGAAAAAGAAAAGAAGGAAATTTAGTACTAAACAGTCCAAAATGTGTGTGACTGCTTGGAAGATGGCCGGTCAACAAAAGACAATACCTGATCACATCCTTCATTCTTTCCTGCATCATGTCATCACCGAGAACCTCGTTGGATTGATCTTCCAACACCTGGAAAGCTTCAGCCGCCTTGGTTGCAGCCTTCTGGATGTCCTTGGCATTAGCCGTTGCTGGAACCGGCTGTCGCCATGCAGAGTCAGCAAAATTGAGGCAAGCTAACTGGCGGCCCCTCAACGCTAGCGCAGCCACATTGTGGGCCTGTGCTATCATCTCCGCTGTGGGAAACGTCCCCAACCATATTCTCGACTTCTTATTCAGCTCCCGGACCTCACACACCCATTTCTTGCCGTTTCTTCACTTTACTCCTCAGTACACCTGGTGCCGAGTCTCCCGAAACTTCTTCCGCCCGACTCTCTTCTTGGGATGACTCGAAGCCAAGTTAGCCAACATAACCTCCTCGTAAGAGTAATTGGCAAGGATGGTGCAGCAGCCATCAAACACCACATATGACCCATATGGAAATGGGTTTGAAAAATTAGAAAGGAATTCCATTAGGGAGCAATAGCAGTAGAAGTGTTAGTTGAAATTTAGTAGTGTGTCTGATTTGAATAGTGTGTCCTCCTCATCAGAACATAGCTACGCTGGTGGTGTTGAAGATGAGTCTTTGTATTTCCTTTTTTTTTTTCCAACAGTATTTACATGACTATAAAAAAAAAACTCAGATTTTATAAGTTTATATATATATATATATATATATATATATATATATATATATAGAACACAGAGGACAGGGGAAGGGGCATTTTAGGATTTATTTAATTTTTTTTTTTATAAGCACGTGTTGGTCATGCGCTACAACCCAAACGACAGGTTAACGGATTTAAACAGAAATGAGGCAATGTGATGACGGTTTATAGCTCAGGAGGGAGTTTTATTTTAGTGGGGGAATTTTGGTCAAAAATGTTTTTGCAAAGGGGTTATGTAACGACCCGAACCCGTGGGTCCGAACTATTAACCGGGTCCTTACCCGAACCCAAGGTTACCTAAGTCAATCCCCATCATGTCTAGTGTCTATACATCATCCTTACGTCCTAAATATGCTTCAAGAAGGTTCTAAACAACATTCCAAGACTCGGGGTTAATCGTATCAAGAGGAGGAACAAAATGCCACAAACAGTAGCTAATTGGTCAAGCGAATTGGAGCTCCAACCGGTTGAAATAACTACTGTACCAGTCGACCGAAATGGCCATTCCGGTCAGCTGGTTGTGGCCCAAACAGTTTCTGGTGCTACTGGAATGATCGGCCAATCGCAGTGCCCATTTCTTCTAGCTGAGAAATCTGCTACTGAGTTTACTGTAATGTAGAAACGAATAACCATATTCCATTCAATTGAAAAACAAGTTTTACATATCCATTACATGATCCCAAAATGATCTACATGAGTTGTATCAACATTGTATCATGTTTACAACGAGTATTATCATGGAGTTATATTTACAACCCACAAGCTACAAAAAAAATATATACATGCTTCACAAGACTTTACAAAATGGGATCCAATTACAACGGTAACCAAAAGTAGTCTTCTAATCCAAGCTAATGTTGTGGTGGATTGTCGTCCGCCACTTCTTTCCCATGTCTTGAAAAATGTTAAGGTGAAGGGGTGAGCATAAGCTCAGTAGGAGGTGCGTAAGGCACACCTTTTGAGACTCCGCGAATCCACATAATGAATAGGAATAAAGTAATTGGGATCATGCTATGCCAGGAAGAAAATAACCACAATATTACATCATTAATCTAATGCCACAAATTAATATGCCGTGAAATGAGATGCGATGTCATGCAATATCACTCCCTATTTCCAAAACCTTTTTCTGTCATCATTTCCAAACCGTTAGTGAAACCCGTCCCATGGCAACTCCATGGCGGCACGAGAGGAGGATTGGCTAACTGTCCCTAACCCATGGCAACTCCATGGCATCATTTGGGGCCAGGTAACTCAACCACGCTAAGGCAATCTCTCTAGTTCCCTCTAGGTCCTACTAATGCCACGAACCCTAGGTAACTCCTAGGCGACCAGGTTTTTCATAAAACCTTTTTAAAACTTTTCTCCAAAAATCCATTTTTATTTCTTTTCAAATATCATTCCCTATTTCCTTCTCAATGAGTGCGTGAGTGTTTCATACATTTCAATGCCATGCTAATGAAGAAATTCATACCTTGCAAGTCAAACGTTTACACTTTACATGCCTTATAGAAAATTCATAGAAATATACATTATGCTTCTAAATCACCAAATTCAACACTTAATACACAATAGACATGGAATATAATCATTTAAACATGCTTTCTCATACAACATTAACTAGCACACATAATCATATACTTTATGTAGAACAATTTAATCAATTTAAAAGGAAATCAACACAAATAAGCATGCTAGACAACAAATTAATCAAGTAGAATAATTCACTAAAGTGCAAGAAATTGTACATTAGAAACCCTACCTCAAGCTAGATGAAAAACCCCAAAATCCCTAGAATTTCGAAAATCCTATGGTTGGCCAAATGGTGAATTGCTTGCATCCATGCGTAAATATCGCTGAGCTCTCCAATTTGTTGCAAACAGCACAACCAAACTCCAAAGGATTGAGGAGTAATCAAAGTTTGAAGCTTTGAAGGAAAAAGAAAAGAAAAATGAAAAGAAATGAGGGAGAGAGAGCTAGTGTTAGGGAGAAAGAAAAAGTAAGGCCAAGGTTGGCCTCTTGGCCACTAAGTGCATTAGTGGTGGGACCACTAAAATCCCACATTTTTTTACTTTTAATATGCACCACAAACATATATATGCACACTAACCATATATAACTACATAAAACGCATTAAATAAAATAAATGAGATGCAATTGGACCCAAACAAAAATCTCCGTACGCAACAATTCCGATAGCGGGTCCCACCCAGGATTTTTCGACCCGAAAAATGGAAAAATGCTGAAATGGCCACCGTTGCATTTCTAAGAGTCCTGAACTCAAATAAATGCCCCAATTAACTCTCGGCCACACCTGGCACACCCCACGATATCCAACACGCAAAATGAGAAAAGATGAAAATATCCTTGAAAAAAGAAAATTCCTAGAAAATAAAAAATGAAAAAATTTAGAAACATTACATTCTCCCCAACTTAAAAAGACTTCGCCTCCGAAATCAATCCGTACCTGAGGAAGGAAATAACGTTGGATACTTGGAGCGAATCTCCTGTTCAAGCTCCCCAAGTAGGCTCCTCAACTTTGTGATATCTCCAAAGAACTTTCACCAGTGGTATCGTCTTGTCCCTCAACACTTTCTGTCGTGTGTCAAGGATCTGAACTGGTCCCTCTTCATAGAAGACATTCTCATCAATATCCACATCAACCTAACTTAAAATGTGAGACGGATCCGGTTCATACTTCCGTAGTATCAACACATGAAAAACATTGTGAACCCTATCCATCTGAGGTGGCAAATCAAGTCTGTAGGCAAACTCTCCTACGCGGTCCTAGATCTCAAAAGGCCTAATGAATCGTGGCGATAACTTGCCACTCTTCCAGAACCTCAACAAACCTTTCTATGGAGAAACCTGTAAAAAGACGTGGTCTCCCACCTCAAAGGATAGTAGTCGTCTCTGCTTATCCGCATAACTTTTCTGTCGGCTCTAAGCTATGAGCAACCTCTGTCTGATCAGCTTAATATTCTCAGTAGTCTAGAGTACAATGTCTAGTCCTAAGGCGGTTGTCTCGCCTACCTCAGTCCAACAAACTGGAGACCTATAAAGTCTACCCTACAACACTTCAAATGGAGCCATCTCAATGCTCGCCTGATAACTGTTATTGTAGGTAAACTGAATAAGTGGAACGTAATCCTCCCAACTACCTCCCAAATCAAGTGCAAATGCCCGAAACATATCCTCCAAGATCTGGATGGTACACTACGACTTGCCTTCCGTCTGTGGATAAAATGTCATACTAAGGTGCAACGATGAACCAAACGCTGCTTGAAGTCCTTCCCAAAACTTCAAAGTGAACTTGGCATCCCTATCTGAAACAACAGCCACTGGAACTCCGTCCAACCTTACAATCTCTTTCACATATAGTACACTAAGTGCCTCTGCGTCATCTGTTGCCTTAATAGGCAAAAAGTGAGCCGTCTTGGTCAATCTATCAATAATGACCCATATGGCTTCATTTCCCCTTCGTGACCTAGGAAGACCTGTCACAAAATCCATAACAATCTACTCCCATTTCCATTGCGCTATAGGTAACGGTTGTAACAAACAGGCTGGTCTTTGGTGCTCGGCCTTTACCTACT